AGATGTTGTGTCCGCCGAAAACTAAAAAATAAATATTAAAATTTCTCCCCTTAAAAAAAAAGGGGGGGGGGCTACGGTGTGGCTAGGTGGTTAAGTACCCCTGGGTTCAACCCCTGGTACCAAAAAATAAAATGAAAATAAAAAACCTTAGAAAAGTAAAAATGATTAAGTTTAGTAGGGCTGGGGTTGTAGCTTAGAAGTAGAGTCAATGCTTAGCACACAGGAGGCCCTGAGTTCAATCCCCAACATCCAAAACATCAACAACAACAACAACAACAACAAAAAAAAAAAAACAGAAAAGGAAAAGAAGAAAGAGTGGATAATGAGAAACCAGCTGTCATTTACCAAATGCCTCATCTATGCTAAACACATGACCTGCCTCTTCATTAGGGCCCTAGTGGAGGGGATATTACAATTAATGAACAGAGTGAGGAAATAGACTTTGAGGTTAGACATACAGCTTACTGAGGAACTGGTATAAAGCATTAAATTAAGCCAGACAGCAGCCCTGTCATTAGCATAAATCAAGCAGACTTCTCCTAACAAGACAGCAATGGTGAGCTGGGTGCAGTGATGCACGCCTGTAATTCTAGTGGCTTGAGAGGCTGAGACTGCAGGATTTCGAGTTCAAAATCAGCCTCAGCAAAAGCAAGGCGCTAAGCAACTCAGTGAGACCCTGTCTCTAAATAAAATGCAAAACAGGGTTGGAGATGTGGCTCAGTGGTTGAGTGCCCCTGAGTTCAATCCTCGGTACCCATCCACCCCCACCCCCACCCCCCAAAAAAGAGAGAGAGAACAATGGTGACATACCTGTAACCCCAACGACTGGGGAGGCTAAGGCAGGAGTTTGAGGCCAGTCTCAGCACCTTAGTGAGACCCTGTCTCAAGCTAAAAATAAAAAATGCTGGGGATATAGCTCAATGGTAGAATGCCCCTGGGTTAAATCTCCAGTTCCACATACTAAAAGAGCTTCATCCCATACAGGGAGCACTAGAGTTACTCACTAAACCAAGAGCCCTGGCTGAGCAGTGTAACTGGGCACTCAGAAGCAAGTCCTGGGCTCCCTCTGCTGGGAACAGGGTAGATTTCATCCAGTGTCCCCTGGTAATCAAGCACTTTTTTTTTTTTGGTACCAGGGATTGAACCCAGGGGCACTTAACCACTGAACTGCAGCCCAACCCTTTTATTTTTTGAGACAGGGTCTTACTAAGTTGCTGGGGCTATCTTTGAACTTGCAATCCTCCTGCCTCAGACTCCTGGGTCACTGGGACTACAGGAATGCACTACCGTGCCCAGCCCTACAACACTCTATTTTTTTATTCTGTATTTTATTTATTTTTATGTGGTGCAAACCAAGTGCCTCACATGTACGAGGCAAGTGCTCTGCCACTGAGCCACAATCCCAGCCCCTCTACAGCACTCTTAATGTAGAGAATACTGATGCCAAAAGGGGACTAAAGAAGACACCTGAAAAGAATAAAATTAAATGCATATACAAACAAATAATAAAGGAGTCACTCTATTGTCAAGCTGAATGAGAAGGGGTGGGAAGAGCCCCACTCTACCAAGTGCCAAACCTGTGCCCCCCTGATCTGGGCAGGGCCTGGAGAACTGGGCTGGGGTGGTATTCTTTTTCAGTGAAAGCTAGTCCATCCCTAGGCTGGCCCTCTTTGTCCTCCCTTTTTCCTACACCTGGCTGCAGAGCGAGACTGACAAGGTCAGGTGAGTCCTGGGGATGCTATGGCAGTCATTCTCATGCCTCTGCTTACCCTCCTCAAAATCTCCACTGGGATGCTTCAGTCCTCCACCTACCACCCAGGTAAGGACAAACCTGGGGATTGAGTGAGATGGAGAGCAAAAATCCCAGCACCTTGGGACAGAAAGAGAAAGAGTGGCCTCATTTGTCAACCTCGTCATGTCTGCCAAATCTCATTTTTGTATTCACATGCTTTCCACTGGTTTCAAGAGTTTGGTGGCTCTGCCCTACTCACTCAATTTGTATATATGCTGCTGGATTTATCATCTGCTGTGTAATAAGAGGACTTCACTAATACAAGTCAGAGAACATTTCTAAAACCCAATGAGGTGCCAGGACTTCTAGGCCACAGGGACAGGACAACAGAAAACAAAGTGGCAGTGGGCTCCCTTAGGGCCTGAGGGAGGAATCAAGAGTAGCCTCCAGGCTGTCATCACAACCCCTCTCACATCCCATACCCATAGTGACTGCCTCATACCCTGCACTGATGGGGGTGATCAGCTCTGTGGCAGTTGTCACTTTGGCTTTCACTGTCATGATGTTGAGGTTCATGAGGTAGTAGAAAGTCAGGTGAAGCACGCTGTCATCTGGAGGGGAGGAGGAAAAGAAGGGATCATTTCTGGGTCTAACAAAGTCAAAGTCTATAGTATTACAGAAAGGAAATTCAAACAGACTTTACGATCTTCTACCATGAAAACAAAAATGCAATTGCAATAATGTTGAACAAAAAAGAACAGTGGTTTACAAATTCTTTGCTACTCTTCCCCATAAAAGGAGGAGGAGCTTCATTTCCTGACCCTTGAGTATGGGTTGAACTTGGTTATTCTGCTTCTAACAAATACAATATAGAGACATAGCCAAGGTGTTAAGGTTGAAATCATTCGTAACACAATGATATCATGTACTCCCGATGTGAGGTGATGATGACCACATATTTGCTACTCTTCTCCCAATTCTATAATCTCAATCTAATCAAGATCATAAAAGAAGAAAGAATGAGAAACCATCACTGCCCAAAGGAGGTTAAGGAGTATGACAACTAAATGTAATGTGGCATCCTGGCTTGGGTCCTGAAACAGAAAAAGGACACAATTTACAATAACGTTATAATAATAATATTGTAGTTAATAGTATTAGGCCAATGAAATTAACACTGGCTTTGATCACTATACTGTGGTTAATTAAGAATGTTAACATCAGAGGAAGCTGGATAAAGAGTATATGGGAAGGCTGCGGGTATAGCTCATGGCAGAGTACATGCTTAGCATGCATAAGACTCTGGGTTCAAACCCCAGTATCCCAAAAACCCTAAACCAAAAGCATACGGTGATGTTCTCTATTACCTTTACAACACTTCAACAAGTCTATAATTACCCCAAAATAAAAAATTTTTTAAATGAAGGGCAAAGGAAGGACCAGTGTGTAGAGCATGTCATTTTTGTACAAAATAAAGAGGCAGAGGATAAATACACAGTTGCATAAAAGCTTCTAGACGTATAGAATACTTTTAGAAAATGGATAAGAAATCTGTATCAATGGTTGTCCTTGGAAATAAGACCAGGACTAGCATCTGAAAGTCTGGGTAAGAAGCAAACATTTTACTGTTAACTCTTACACTGCCAGAATACTTTATCATGTTCTACTTTTTCCTTAAAAAAACAGTTTCCAAATATATTCTCTGTGGAATTCCAAGCTTTAAATATATATTTACTAAATTAAAGATGTTAATTGTATTCAAAATCTGCATACTCTTGCGACTTATTCTTTGGATTTAACATGTCAAATTCAGAAAGAAGTATAGTTTTTTTATCTTGCCTCTCTTATATGTTTGGAATTTTGTTGGCTACATTATTATGGTTAAGACTTTAAAAAAATCAAAGAATGAAAGAATATTAAAGAGGAAAAACAGAAATAGGAGATCAAAATAATTTTGGGGGCAGAGAGGCTTCTGGCCTGCTGGACCCCCTCCATCTATAGTAGGCCAAAAAATTATGGGAGAATGAGATGAGTGCAGTCAGACCTTTGCACTTGAGGTCAAGCAGGACGGACAGCGGGTGTCTCTTTAGCATCTCCTTGCGCTTGTCATCCAACTGAACCCCCAATGTGGGTCGACGCCGTTTCTGGACAAAGGAATGAACCAAGATGGTAATCACTGATCATGGCAATCTCTCCCCTTCTGCTCCCTCCGGACCTGCTGCCTCAACTCCCCAGGCTGCCCAGCTCCCCTCCCAGAAGCCCTGTCTTCAATCATCTTTCTTTTGCTTCTAGGGAGAATGACACCCCTACAAGATAAAAGGATACTCACCGTGGTCTGCTCCTCCTCAGCATCCGAGTCACTCTCGTCATCTGCAGTCACACAGAGAAGGCAGTAAGAGATGAGAGGCCTCCAGAGGCTCCCTGAAGCCCCTCAACCAAGAGGGACCAAGAGGCCCAGACTCTGTTTCTTTAGAATAAATATTAATATTCTGCTTCTTATTCAGTATAAAAAACATGGCGATGGAAAAAAAGAAAAAAAGAATGGCTCATAATCTCACCATCCCTGATCTCTACAGGGCTTTTAAATATCACTTCTATGGAGCAGAAGCATATTTCCATGAGCCAGTAATAGTGATATGAATAATAATAATAATAATTACTCAAATAATTAAGAGTGGCTGCTATGTGCCAAGGATGATACTAAGGGCCTTGCAACCATTATTACCTCATCTAATCTGCATACCTACATGAGGCTACTGTAAGTAAATTATGGCTCGAAAAATGTTGAATACCTTCCCTAGGGTCAGTGGACTAGTGAGTGGCAGGGCTGAAATCCAAAGGCAAGGACTGTTAACTCCAGGGACTGAGAGCTCTGCTCTTGTCCACCCCAAACACTGACACTAATATCAAGCTTCCTACTACAAAGAACCAGTCCAGCTAATTCTCAAAGGACAAGGAATGCCCTTGGGTGGTGACTAGGGTATCCCTGGAGGAGGTATCCCAACCACTATGTTACCTTGGGAGTCCTCAGGAGGCTTGAATAGAGCCTTGGCTTCGTCCACACTGCCTTCGATAGCCACAGACAATGTCTTATCTGGGGGTAAGAAAAGTTTCATGGGAAAGCTGCTGGGAAGGGCACCAGGCAATGCAGGCAAGCCAGCTCAGGGGCTGCATGTCTTCTGCTTCTGCCCCATCTTCTCACTGACTCGGGTGGAGGGCAAAAGCCCTTTCTCCACATGCACAGGAACAAAATTGGAAACTTAAATCTTTTCCCCATCACTTACTGAGTACACCAAATTCAATGTGCAGATTCCCAGACAATAATCCCCTGAGGCTAATGGTGAATGCTTCTCTGTTTAGGCTCACACCAAGGCACAGATATTCAAACCCAGGGCTAAAGCCCCACGGAACTCTTCAGTTAGCTGTGCTATAAGTTCTCATCAAAAAGTCCACACCTGCCGGGTGGGTGCAGTGGAACATGCCTGTAATCCCAGCGGCTCAGGAGGTTGAGGTAGGAGGATCTCGAGTTCAAACCCAGCCTCAGCAAATGAGTGAGGCCCTAAGCAACTCAGCGAGATCCCGTCTCTAAATAAAATATAAAAAAGGGGCTTGGGATGTGGCTCAGTGGTTGAATGCCCTGGTTTCAATCCCCAGTACCCACTGCCCCTGGCAAAAAAAACACAATAAAAATAAATGAAACCAGTCTACACCTGTCTACCACCCTGAAACAACAGCTCTCACCTAAGTGCTTACTCTCTTCTGCATGACACCAAGCACCTGGCTGGCATCATCTCATTTAGTAGGGATTTGGATGCTATAGTCCAGTCCCAGACCTAAGTCCCTCTTTCCTACTTTGCCTGAGCACATAGCCTGCAAAGTTAAATCACTACTCTGAGGGTCCACTGGTCTCAGGTTCCACATCTACGAAATGGAGATTAAATAAGTAGTAGCTGCCCTGTTGAGCGGTAAGAACTGAATGATGTTTATATAATTTTAATTATAAAATTATTTTTAAGCTGGGAATGGTGGCGCAGGCCTATAATCCCAGTGATTTAGGAAGCTGAGGCAGGAGGATCACAAGTTCAAAGGCAGCCTCAGCAACTTTGTGAGGCCCTAAAGCAACTCAGCAAACCCTATCACTAAATAAAATATTAAAAAGAGCTGGGGATGTGGCTTAATGGTTAAGCACCCCAGGACTTAATCCCTGGGACCAAAAACAAAAAGAAAAGTAAAAATATTTTTTAAGACTTGGGTATTTTTTATTTGTTTGTACCAGGGATTGAACTCAGGGGCACTCAATCACTGAGCCACATCCCCAGCCCTATTTTGCACTCTATTTAGAGACAGGGTCTCACTGAGCTGCTTAGTGTCTCGATTTTGCTGAGGCTGGACTCAGCCTCTCTAGCTGCTGGGATTACAGGCGTGGGCCACCTCCCTGGACTTAAAACTAAATTTTGAGGCTGGGGATATAGTTTTGTAGTACAGGGCTCATTTAGCATATGTGAGGCCCAGGTTCTATCCCAACATGGACAACAAATAACAACAACAACAACAAAAAAACCCCAAAACCAAAAAACAAACACACACAAAAAAACTTTTTTTTTTTTTTTGATGAAACTGAGGATCTGAGGAAAGGATTAAAAAAAAAAAAAAGAAATAAACTTTTTAATCTTCATAACAATCTTGTAGGAGGTTGTTATTCAACCCTATTATAGAAGGAATAATATTATTTTAACTATTTAGATATGAAAAACTTAAGGCTCAGAGAAGTTGGAAACTACAGCCAGGAAGTAGATAAACCAGGATTCAAGTACAGGTCTGTGCAACCTGAGCTTACTCTCTCAAAACTGAGTTAACAGCCTGTTTCACATACCTGGCTTGAAGACACACTGAGTGACTCCTTAGGTCCTTCTTTGTGGAACTCTGGGGGCCTAGTGCTACAAAGTCAGGCACCTTTCCTTTTTTTTTTTTTTTTTTTTGTGGTGCTGGGGATGAGACCCAGAGCTTGAGCTATAGCCCCAGACCCTCCTCTATCCTTAAGGGTATAGAAAGTCACATACGCCTGAAATAGTCTCCCAGCTGCCAAGCTGCATTAAGGAAGAAAGGCAAAGTCCCTCAGTGTAGCTGACTACTGCCTTATCTCCCACAACCATACACAAACCATCACAGCCCGCCCCCAAATCAACTGGATCACCCCCATCAAGCAATGGCAAATTACAGAGCATTCTCTTTTAAAAATGTTTATAGAGATTGAACCCAGGGCCTCACGCAAGCTAGGCAAGTGCTCCACCACTGAGTCCCATCCCAAGCTCCACACTGGTTGTTAATGCTTGAATTCTGTAGGGGCAAAATGGGAGTAAAAACAAATAAATTTTAAACACAAAAAGAAAAGAAAATTACTCACCCTGTCTAGGGGGCTGGGAGGAGGATTTCATATGAGCTGATGATGGAAACAGGAGGGAGAACAAAGGGGAGGGAGATGAGAAGGACCAGGAAGACACAAGAAAAGAGACAGTAATGTGTTGGTGCCCGTGGCTGGGAGGAGAGCATGCACTGGCTCAATATAAGTCTGTCTGATGCAATGCAGTGGGATGGGGTGAGATAGAAAAGTTTAGGTGCTGGGTGGAGCTGCATTAGGACAAAAGCAAAAATTTCTCAAAACCTTAGCAGAGTCCCTTAAGCATAATGAGGACACATCTTCTCACATGGTAATTCACTGTAACGACATGCAGCCTGTTTTGAAGCATCCTGAAAGCCTGGGAGAGCTGGCCAGGACCTGTCTTCACAAGCACCACCCTCCACCCCCCACCCAAAGCAGATTAGGAAGCACTGACTACCTGCCAAGCGTGCCTTGATAGAGTGAGCACCTGGGAGCCCAAAGGGGCTTCCTGGACACTGCACCCATGGGCCATCCAGACAGGCTTAGGAAAGTTTCAAAGCCATCCATTCTGAAATACCCATTAGGTGAGTCCAGCCTCAGGTCAGCTGGTCAAAGCAGCCATGCTGGGTGTGGTGCAGAGGGAAGGTAGCATCCGTCACCTGAAAGCTTCTGGCAAGGCTGGGGAGCTCCTTGGTAGGCAATACTTCCAAATGACTCAGTAGGTCATGGCTGCTCCTCCCATAGCCCTCCTCCTCATCCAGCCCCCATACTCACCACAGGCCTGCCCATATGCAGTAGCCTGGACAAAGAGCACGTAGAGGGGAGGTGGCAAGTGCCTAGCTGTCTCGTATTGCTTGTGAGCCTGGTCAAATGGCATGAACAAGTACTCCTGCACCGGAAGGGAAGCCTATGCAATAAAAAAGAGTGTTTTTGTTTTTTCTTTTTCAACCGATCCCACATAAGAACATGCAGTTACTTTGCGATTGTATGTAGCTGGGGTACCAGGGTCTGAACCCAGGAATGCTCCACCACTGAGCTACATCCCCATTTCTTTTTGAGACGAAGTCTTGCTAAATCACCCAGGCTGGGCTTGAACTTTGGAATCCTCCTGCCTCAGCTTCCCAAGAAGATGGGATTACAGGATGCAACACTGTGCCCACTGTATGTAGTTTTTATTTTTTTGTACTAGGGATCAAAAACCAAGAAACTTGACCACTAAGTTACAGCCCCAGCCCTTTCTTATTTTGAAACAGAGTCTCACTAAGTTGCTTAGGGCCTCACTATGTTGTTGATGCTGACCTTGAACTTTTGATTCTCCTGCCTCAGCCTCCCAAGTCACTGGGATTACAGGTGTGTGCCACTATGCCTGGCCTGTATACAGTTTTTTATTCACAAAGTGATACATGACTAAAAGAATGTATAGGTGGAAAAAGGCCAAATAAATGAATCCATTGTATTTTTTATACCAGTCAGAGAGAAAGAAAATGAAATTATGAAAATATACCATTTCCAACAGCATCAAGTAAACATCAAGGGTCTGGGGATAAAGCTCAGTGGTAGAGTGCTTGCCTAGCATAAGTAAGGTCCTGGATTTGAGACTAAGCACCACCAAAAAAAAAAAAAAAAACCAGAAAAAGAAAAAGACTTGTCATGCTCAACATCACTAGTTCCCAGAGAAAGGAAAATTAAAACCATAATGAGATACCCTCCAGAATAATATCAAAGTGTTGGCAAGGATATGGAACAATCAGACCTTTCATATGGTGCTGGTGGGAATTACCATAAATCAGTATGATCATTTTAGAAAACTGATTCTGTGTCTACCAAAGCTAAATATATGCACAGCATATTCTATATGACTCAACAATTTCATTCCTCTGTATATCCAACAGAAATGTACATACAGGTTCACCAAAGGACACAGGTAAGAATGCTCACAGCAACATTACTTACAATAGCCCCAAACTGAAACTAACTAAAATCAAATACTAAACATCAATAAAAAGAAATGAATTGGTACTCAAAGTAGCACAACTACTATGAGTACTACTTAGCTTTTTTTTCCCTTTTTTTTTGGGGGGGGGGATGGGCGGGCGGTACTAGGATGAACTCAGGGGCACTCGACCACTGAGCCCCATCCCCAGTTCTATTTGTACTTGCATTCCTTCTGCCTCAGCCTCCTGAGCTGCTGGGATTATAGACGTGCGTCACCATGTCCAGCACTACTGATCTTTTAAAAGATAAATTCCACAAACATACCATTGAGCAACAAAAGTCAGACACATAAGAGTATATACAATTCTATTTGCATGAAACTCAAAAGTAGACAAAACTAGGGGCTGGGGTTGTGGCTCAGTGGTAGAACACTCACCTAGCACATGCAAGGCCCTGGGTTCGATCCTCAGCACAACATAAAAATAAATAAATAAAATAAAGGTATTGTGTCCAACTACAACTAAAAAATAAATATTAAAAAAAAAGTAGACAAAACTAGCTATGTAAGAAGTTGGGATAATGGTTATGAGTGGTAAATAGTGTCTGAGAGTGGTAATAAAGAACTCTAGAAAATTGGTAATGCTCTCTCTTGATTTTGGAGTGGCAATACAGATGTGTTTGCTCAGTAAATATTCATTCAGCTGTACACCTGTATGCTTTTCTGTTATTTTGGTGCTAGGGAATAAACCCATGGCATTGTGAATGCTAAGTATTCACTCTACCACTAATCTAAACCCCCAGCCCTATAAGATTACTATTATTATATTTTGAGATGTGGGGCTCACTATACTGCCAAGTTGGTCTCAAACTCATGGGCTTAAGTGATCCTTCTGCCTCAGCCTCCCAAATAGCAAGGACTACAGACATGCATCACTGCACCCAACTACTGTTTAAATTAATATATGTATGTTGTATCAGAAAGTTGTAGGCAACTTTATAAAGTAAAATCTCTCAGTTTATAGCCCCACAAAGGTAACTGGTAATGGTTTTGTGTAAATATAGATTCTTCTAAGCACACACACAAAACACACACACGTAAATCCACACAGCTTCTTTGTAGATCAAAACATAAAAATGAGACCATACTATACACTCTACAATTTATATCTGTTTCCCTTAATACTATTAATAGGTTTCCTTCCTGTCCAGTTATTCTACCAGTAGTATGCCATTCCATACTTCCATCACAGCTATAAGGCCATATTACACGCCAGGTATTGTAGCACATGTCTGTAATTCCTGCAACTTGGGAGGCAGAGGCAGGAGGATCACAAGTTTGAGGCTAGCCTCAGCAAGGTGTTAAGCAACTTACTGAGACCCCGTCTAAAAAGAAAGGGTGGAGGGCTGGGGATGTGGCTCTGTAGTTAAGTGGCCCTGGGTTCTAATCACCAGTATTTTAAAAAGAAAGGCTATACTACACAAAAAGTTTATTTAACCTAGATCCTATTTACTGTGTCCAGTTAACTGAAGAAAATTTAACCATGCAGAGGATTTGGAGTGTTGAGTACAACAAAACCTTTTCATTTCCATTTTCTTTTTCTCTGGTTATTTAGTGCTACTGGAAAATATCTTTGTTAACAATTCTAATTCTATGCCTACAGTTGAAGAGAGGAAATGCAGGTCTTGCCAAGTCCGGGAAAAGTGAATTTATAATTTCTCTAGGGTCCTTTTACAAAGCTCCTCCATATTACCATTTATCCTGCTTCATAAAACCATAACAATTTTTAGAACAAATCTAGCTTTACAAAGCAAACAAAAATCAGGTCACCTATATAGAAAGACAATCTATTTCATAGGTAATGTGGGAACTTTTCCTCCTAAGGAACATAATGGATTTCAAATGCGTCAAGTTCTTTACAAAGTAAGCAGATCTGCTGAACAGTCTGCCCTGAGCTCTCCTCAGTGGGATGTAACAGACATCCACAGGAAGCATGTTTAGATAACCTGAGACGGGATAGGGATGTAGTTCAGTGGTAGCGCACTTGCCTAGTATAATGTGAGACCCTAGGTTTAAAAAAAAAAAAAAGGCGCCTAGAGACTATAGGGCTAGTGGGGACCATGAAGGGGGTTAACTGAATTTATATAATCTGAAAAAGTATGACACAGTACAGAGGGGGCTCTAGATATAAAGAAAATGCCCATTACATGTGTATATATGTTTCTAAAACCACCTGGCCAGAATTTATTTATTTATTTCCTTCCTTCCTCCCTCCCTTCCTTCATTTCTTTTATTGCAGTGCTGGGGATTAAACCCAGTGTCTCATGCATGTGAGGCAATGCTCTACTACTGAGCTACCCTTTAACCCCTGGCCAGAATTTCTTTCTCTTCCCTTTTTTTTTTTCCTAAATGTTTTTTTTAGTTGTAGATAAACACAATACTTTGTTTATTTTTATGTGGTGCTGAGGATTGAACCCAGTGCCTCACATACTAGTCAAGTATTCTACCACTGAGCTACAATCCTAGCTCTAAGCATTTCTTTACTGCAGGACACAAGCTTATTGTACAATCAGGTAGGACTTCACATAAGACATTCCTATTATGTACTCAGATTAGCGTAAGACCTGGCAAAGCCTAAAGGGCGATGTAGCTTCTGGTGGCCTCTGGGCAGTGGTAAAGGCAAAAGCAAGACTGGCAGGCCTCACCTGCATGATGCTGTTGAGGCGAGGCTGGAGGCTGCTCAGGTATTCCTTCTTCACCTCAATCTCCTTAAGGATTTTCTCCTTGTTGGACAGGCACTCTCGGTACTTCTCCGCCAGCCTGAGAGGATGAACAGAGCTCTGTCACCTGATGTCTTGAAGGGACATCTCAACAATTAATCTAGGTATAAAAATACAGTATATATATTTTTTCATACTGGAATTTTCATGGTTGCTGCTCTCCTGTTAGAGTAATTTTTTATATTTGTTCAAGAATTCTAGGGCTTTTGAATGGTACATCTGTTTTTTTACATAAGCAGCATTTTCTACACTTGCCTTTTTCTGTAATAAGAGAGAAGAACAGGTCAGACTCTACCTATAATAGCAGCTACAATTAAATGCTAATGTTTGGGGCTGGGGTTGTGGCTCAGTGGTAGAGTGCTTGCCTTGTATGTGTGAGGCCCTGGGTTTGAGCCCCAGTACCGCATATAAATAAATAAAATAAAAAATTCATTGATAATTTAAAAAAAAAATTTTTAAATGCTAATGTTTGCCAACATTTGCCATGTGCAAGACCCTTAGGGAACTCTTTATAAGAACTATCACATTTAGTCCTTATACAAACACAGGAAGATCTTATCCCTAAAGGAGAAAACTAAGGTTCCAGGAGGCATTAACTTGCCCAAAGACATCTAGTCAAAGAGTCAACTTAACAGGGGAGTGACAGTCCAGGTCCCTCTGCTCAAACACAGACGTAAATTCCCTAAGAACCAGACTCAGTGCAAAGTGTCTAACATGGACCAATGGGACAGAATATCTCCTATTATAGAAAAAGGCAAGTATAGAAAAGTGCTGCTTATGTAAGGAAAAACAGGACAGATGTGCCAATCAAAAACCCTAGAATTCTTGTACAAATAGGCAACAGGAGAGAAGCAACCATGAAAATTCCAGTATGGAAAAACATATATATTGTATTCTTTGACCTAGATTAAAAACATTCTATTACAGATTAAAAACATTCCATTACAGATTAAAAACATTCTATTTATGGTTAACAAAGAAAAGCTCTTTATTAGTACAGAAAAATTTAATATGTAAACAGCATTATTTATGGTAGCAAAAATGGAAATAACCTAAAAGTTCAACAAGGGGAAAGGACTTTTTAAGTTACATTTTTCTATACACTAAAATGTTGTACAACTTTCTAAAATAACAGAAAGCATATGATGCTGCAGGATTATGCTTAAAGATGGGGGAAAAGGCAAAACAAAAATTAGATTTATGGTACAAAAGACATTTAGGTCTCAGGTATTGAATTTTTTTTTAAAATATTTTTTAGTTGTAGTTGGACACAATATCTTTTATTTTTTTATTTTTATGTGGTGCTGAGGATGGAACTCAGGGCCTCACACATGCTAGGCGAGCACTTTGCCGCTGAGCCACAATCCCAGCCCCTCAGGTATTGAAATTTTAAAGAAAAAAGGTTACTTTGCTGTGTATGATGGTGCATGCCTGTAATCCCAGCAGCTCAGGAGGCTGAGGCAGGAGGATCACAAGTTTGAGGCCAGTCTCAGGAACTTAGCAAGGCCCTAAGCAACTCATCAAGACTCTACCTCGAAATAAAATAAATAAAAAGGGCAGGCTGGAATTGTGGCTCAGTGGTAGAGCACTTACAGAGCATGTATGTGTGAGGCACTGAGTTTGATCCCAGCACCATATAAAAGTAAATAAATAAACAAAATAAAGGTATTGTGTCTGCCTACAACTAAAAAAAATTCTAAAAAAAATAAACAAATAAAAAGTGGGGGACTGGGGCTATAGCTCAATGATAGAGAGCTTGCCTCACACGTGTGAGGCACTGGGTTCAATCCTCAGCATCACATAAAAATAAATGAATAAAGATATTGTGTACATCTACAACTAAAAAAAAAATTTAAAAAAATAAATAAAAGGGTATGTAGCTTAGCAGCAAAATGTCTCTGGATTCAATCCTCACTACCCCCCTAAAAAAAGTTACTTTAATGGCCAGGTGTGGTGGCTCCTGCCTATACTCCTAGTTAATCAGAGGACTGAGGCAGGAGGATCACTTGAGTCCACAACGTGGTGGCCAGCCTGAAAAACACAGTGAGACTCCATCTCAAAAACAAAACCCAAAAACCAAAAAAAACAAAAAAAAAAACAAACCCAAAACACCACTCCAACTTTCTATTAATAACCTTAAGCAAATACAATCCCACCCATGATGAGGTTGGTCTGGTTTGGTCTCAAAATAAAATAAAAAGGGCCGGGAATGTAGGTCAATGGAAGAGTGTTAGCCTAGAGGTCCTGGGTTCAGTCACCAACTCCACAAAAAAAAAAAAAAAAAAAAAAAAATGTCTTGGAGATTATTCTACTAATTGCACAGTACTTGGCTGTCTGATCCTGGATCATGACAAAGCACTATCACTCTATGGTTAGGAAGATCAGGAAGGAGAAGCCAAGCATGGTGGTAAACACCTGTAATCCCAGGAATTCAGGAGGCTGAGGCAGGAGAATCAAAAGTTCAAGGTCAGCTTCAGAAATCTAGTGAGGTCCCAAGCAACTGGCAAGACCCTGACTCAAAATAAAAAAAAATAAAAACTGGCTGGGGATGTGGCTCAGAGGTTAAGTGCCCCTGGGTGTAACCCTCAGCAACAAACAAACAAACAAAGCAGCAGCAGAAGCCAAGAAAAAGTAAATTCTACCTTTTCCGTTGCTCCAATTCCCAGTCCAGTCGTGCTAAGGTCTGCTGATGAGGGTCTCCCATGGTGACTTCAGCTTTGCTGATGTCTGGTGGAGCCTCCTTATAAAATTCCTCTAAACTGACCAGATCTATTTCTTCATGCTTTGACCTACAGGAAGAAAACAGATGTCAAGCTGCTGTTCTCAAGAACCCAAACTGTGGCTTAAGTTGGGAGTCCCTTCAACTGCACTCACTCAGCCCTAATCCACAATTACTCAAGATACTGGAATCCAATTTCAGAATATGCTCATTAGCAGATGTTTCAGTATGATGAGAGGTCACTGGTGACATGCGATAGGATCCTTGTCCATGCTGTCCAACCTTTTTATCTATGAATTAGCTAAAGGCCTGGAAAGGATTCTTACTGAATTTACAAATATCTCCCAGTTGAACAGGAGAGCTAAGAGTCAAAATCAATACAGCCTAGACCTAAACTGTCAGGTTGAAAGCAGGACATGTCATGGAACAAGAATAAACGTAAGAGTCTGAATGTAAGTTCAAAACACTAAGTATAAGTATAGGAGGGAGGGAGATCCAACATGCCAGAACCAGATGTAAAAAAGATAAAAGCTTTTAATTGTTACATGAACAGTGACATACTGGTATAAAAGAAAATAAATCCAATACTTTTTGATGCATTAACAAAGTTGAGTGCTCAGATCAGGCCACATTATCATGGCCATGGTCAGCAACTACTACGTATTAATTAGTACCCACCAGCTGGGCGCAGTGGTGCACTCCTGTTCTTTGTTTTGTGTTTTGGTACCAGGGTAAACCCAGGGGCACTCAACCACTGAGCCACATCCCCAGCCCTATTTTGCATTTTATTTAGAGACAGGGTCTCACTGAGTTGCTTAGTGCCTGGCTGTTGCTGACTGGGATTAAAGGCATAAACCACAACACCCAGCTAGTGGTATACTCCTGTAATCCCAGGGACTTAGAAGGCTGTGGCAGAGGGGAACACAAGTTTGAGGCCAGCCTCAGCAATTTAGCAAGGCCCTAGGCAAATTAGCAATACCCTGTCTCAAAATAAAAAATAAAAAAGGACTAAAGATGTGGCTCAGTAAGTAGTAAAATACCTCTAAGTTTAATCCCTAATACCGCATCAACCACCCCCCAGAAAAAAAAATAATTAGCACCCTATATATGTGTCTTCACTTAATTTAATCTTATAACAATTCTAGGATGTGAGGATTTTTATCTCCATTTTTCAAGTGAGATGGAGGCTTTTATTCAGTGCATAGTAGAGCTCAGACATGGACCCAGGCTATCTAACTACAGCTCTTTTCACATGGCTGCCTACTGCCCCACAGGCCCGAATTCCACCGCATTCTGAATTTGTCAGCTTCCATCTGAGCAATGATTATGGAATGGTGCACTGTATTCTTTTATTTTGTTTTCATACTTTTTAAATTCTGATAAAGTTTAAGATTCACAAGAAGTTTCTAACATAGTACTGAGAGGGGAGAGGAAGAGGTTGATCAATAGGTACAATGTTATTGTTCAATAGGAAGAAAAAATTCTAGTGTTCTAAAAGTATAGCAGGGTTAAGTACAATGAACTTTTAAGTTTCTCAAATTGTTGGAAGACAGAAGTATGAATGTACTTACCATAAACAAATGATGAAAGTTTAAAGTCATGGGTGCCAATTATTCTGAGTTGATTATTACTCAATGTATACATGAATCAAAACACCATATTGTATCTCATAAACATGTACAAATATTATGTGTCAAACTACTGAGAGTTTATTTTCTGTGTACTCTTTGTCCAGGTTCCCCCAATGATAATAAATATAGTACACTATCAAAACCAAGAAACTGACGATGGTACAATAGTATTAACTGACGCAATTTTTTTTTTTTTTTTTTTTTTTGAGAGAGAGAGAGAGAGAGAAAGAGAGAATTTTTTAATATTTATTTTTTTAGTTTTTGGCGGACACAACATCTTTATTTATATGTGGTGCTGAGGATCCAACCCAGTGCCACACGCATGCCAGGCAAGCACACTATAGCTTGAGCCACATCCCCAGCCCTGATGCAAATTTTTTATTAGTACTTTCTCTGGGGGGAGTGGGGACACAGGTACCAAGGATTGAACCCAGGGGCATTTAACCACTGAGTCACATACCCAATCCTTTTTATGTTTTATTTTGATAGGGTCTCACCATGTTGCTTAGAGTCCAACTTGCTGAGGTTGGCTTTGAACTCGTAATCCTCCTGCCTCAGGCTCCTGAACTACTGGGATTATAGGCATGAGCCACCAAGTCCAGATCTCTATTAGTATTTAAGTGTTAATATGTAACATGTACCTCAAAAATCAGCATCATCACTTGGGAGGCTGAGGCAGGAAAACTGCAAGTTCAAAGATAGCCTCAGCAACTTAGTGAGGCCCTAAGCAACAGTGAAACCTGTCTCAAAATAAAAAAAGGCTGGGGATGTGCCTCAGTGGTTAAGTACTCTTGGGTTCAATCCCCAGTATTTAAAAAAAAATAAATCAACAACAAAACTCGCATTATCATCACTAAAGATATGCTGGACCCTGATGTCAAATGTGTCCCCATTCATACCAAGTTTGTTACAAATAAGATCTGCCTTCTTTCAGTTTGAACAATGTCTTTCCAAGCAAGAATTCCTTCCTTTCTCTTCCCATTTACTCCTTCCTCTATCTCATCTCTCAGCTTGGTTTTGCCAAGAGGTATCACATCCTAAGATTACTAATAAACTGTAGATTGTTCACCTGAATATAGCTAAGGAGCAAGAAGTTCAGGTCCAAAGAATAAGATTCATATGCAAAAATGAACTGCTGTGCTTTCAGAGAGGAAAACTGGGCCAAAATGTTAAAAGGATATGATTGGGAGATTGAGGATTGTAACTTGGGAGACTGAGGGAAAAGTTGTACTGACCTTGGCTCAAAATGAAAAACAAAAAAGACTCAGGATGTAGTTCAGTGGTAAAGCACCTCTAGATTCAATCCCTAGTACCAAAAATACAAAAAACAAAAACCTGCTCCCATATAATGTGCCCAGGAATCAAACTGGTAAAGTAAAGGCTCCTGCTGGGGACAGAGAAGCACTCTTTACCAACTGTGGAGCTCACAAACTCAAAAGGATCAGAGAGGCTTCTATGGTTCTTTGTGCAGCTCCAAACTACTGCTTACAATTCTACCACTCAGAGTGATCTATTCACCCTTCTCCCAGATCCTGCAGTCCTTCAAGCTCATTGAATTTCTTTTCAAAGAAACTAGCTCACACTGAACTATGTAGGAAAAAGCAGTTACAATAGACCAGGTGTATCAAAGCCCTGCGTTCCCAAACTCACTTAAATTCCAGACATTTGGTGATCTCCTTCTGCAGGTGCATCACCTCATACAGCAGGTTCTGTAGTTGCAGGTGATAGGCGTCTACTTTCTGCTTAGCCTGAAGGAAAGACAAGGCTGAAGGTGAGAGCAGGTTAAGTTGGGGTGGAACAGAGCATCTGCAAAGTCAGAAAAGGGGAAAAGGAGATAGAGAAGGGGATGAGGAAAAGCAGGAAGGAGGATTCATTAAATCTTTCAACTCTACCTCATGGGTCTGATCCCTTCCTTTCTTCAACCTTATGTGGGCTAATCGGTTAAGCTTCTTTAGAGTCATGAAATGTACACAGCTTTGGATCCTTCGTTCTTCAATTTCAATTGCCTGTGGGCAAAGAAAAAGGTAAAGACCACTAAGAATAGGTGCTGCCGACCCATCCCCATTCAGGACCAAAGGAAGACACCAGGGGGAGCTCTAAACCACAGGTACTGTAATGAGGGAAACACCAACAGAAGGGATGACTGTACAAAGGAAGTGCCTAAGGTTCCCAGGCAGAAAAGCAATTTCTACTTAGACTGAAGTGACAGGAATTAAAGATAGACCAGGTGCAGCCAATACACGATTAATAGCTTTCCCTAAGATCCTAAAGAGAACTTCATAATAGTAGCGTTGTGACTCAAAATCTGACCTCTATCAACAGCATTACAGAATAATTTAAGTGATAATAACAAAAGTACAGTCATAAAGTTTGGCTACAATAAAACAGATATGATGTAATAACTTTAGTAATGTTGGCCAGCTTAAGCACAAATAAGATCCCTGGGGAAAAGATGAAAAGTATTTTTTAATTTATCTAGTTTTTAGACACATTACTTAGTTTTTCTGCCACTAACGTCCGGTTTGTTCATTTAACATTAACGAAAACTTCATTTTTGGTCTCTACCAATTTACTTATGCATACTCATGCTATCACATCAAGGGAATTGATATGTACTATCATTTATCAGCACTAAGCAAAAATGCTGGCTACTTATGCAATAAATGTTATGTCAAAGAAAGATCAAATCAAAGTTTTTAAAAAATAATTATCCTGTACATTCATTACCATAATGGGTAATCAGGTAATGATGACAGGTTCCAATTAATTAATAGGCAGCTCTGGAGTCTGTAGGCTCCAACCACCTGATTATGGCTAGAACAGAAGATCAAGATCAAGAAGGGCCCCAGTAGGTGCAAAAGTTACCCCTCTGCACAGACCTACCAGGTTCAAGTCGGCCTGGTTCCATTCCTTACCATATCCTTGCCACCCCGGCTCTTCAGATCCTGGATCTCGGCCATCAGCCTCTGTAGCTCCTGGCACGTGTACTTATACAGCTCATAGTCTCTGCCAGGGTCCCGCAGGTCCACCTCAGCCTCCTCGCTATAGTATTTACCTTCCTGTGAAGGCAAGGAGAGAGGCCCCAGGTGAGAAATGAGTCTCCCTGTTGGGACTAGAGACACTTGACTGAGATCTCTTGTTAAACATGTACAATTAACAATGAAGCCCCAAATTAGGTCACTAAAGAAAATGGTTCTCATATCAAATGTAAACATTTTCAAAACAGAAACTTCTTTTTCTTATTACAAAGTATGCATATTTGGTGTCTAAGAACAGAAACATCACAAAGTTCAAGGTCAGTCTCAGTAACTCAGCAAAACCCTAAGCAACCTAGTGAGGCCCTGTCTCAAAATAAAAAAATAAAAAGGGCTGGGGATATGGCTAATGGCAGTGTTTAATCAATCCCCAGTACCAAAAAAAAAAAAAAAAGAAAGAAATAACTTCCTATAATTTCACTTTCCAGCCCCAAACAACTCCATTGTGAATACTATGAATAAATATATATTTTTAAGCAAGACAGAATCATCATTGTCCGTGTTATTCAGTGAAACTTCTCATAAAATAAATATAGATTTCTATCAAAACAGCTGTATGGGTCTGGGGTTGTGGTTCAGTGGTACAGCGCTTGCCTCATACATGTGAGGCACTGGATTCAATCCTCAGCACCACATAAAAATTAATTAATTAATTAATTAATTAATTAAAGGTATTGTGTTCATCTACAGTTAAAAAAAAAAAAAGTCCACTGTAGAGATAAGCCAGAAATCACTTAATCAAATTTCTACTGATAGATATTTAAATGGTTATAGCAAGCTTTGGCAGACTATAATATCAAAACTAAGACAAGAATGCCATAATCAAAACTCAAAAAAAAATAAGGTCCTTCAGCAATCTGATTTCCTAAATCAGAGAAAAGCATTGTTTTTATCTTTCATAATATTCTTTCTTATATGTATCAAGACTCATACTGAACAATGAGTTTTAGATTGCAAAAGAGGTTTAATATTTGCACCTGTTTATAAGTTTGTCCATGAGTTAAATGAAAAACACACAAAAGCAATATATATGTGCATATATACATACACATGCATACATATGTGTATGCATGCATGCACATATACATATACACACATATATATATAATACAACACAAAACTATCACAAAGTGCTAAAAGCATTGTTTTCTGGTTTTGATTTGTGTGTGTGTGTGTGTGTGTGCGTGCTGGGGATTAAAACTAAGCCCTTGCATATGCTAAAATAGGTTCTACCACTGAGCTATACCTCAGCCCATACTGTGTTTTAATTGAAATTTTTTTAAATATACATATATATATTTTAGTTGTAGATGGACACAATACCTTTATTTTATTTGTTTACTTATATGTGATGTTGAGGTTTGAACCCAGGGCCTCACATGTGCGAAGCAAGCACTCTACCACTGAGCCACAACCCCAGATCCTGTTTTAATTGAAATTTAAGCTAGTGTTTCATGATTCTACTTAAAACAAACAAGCAGACAAACAAAAAACCAACTAGCCAAACAAAAACAGCCAAGTCATGAATTGGCTTGAAAGACTCAAGGACAGAAAGACAAAAAGAAGTACCACCTGTTGACCACAAGAGCTCTCGGGCCACAGAACAGGTTCTCTGGGTTTAAGGTTCTGGTACCATCTTAGTAGCATACTTGGGGATGTAACATCTCTGAAGCGCCAGAGCTATGCGGTAGTCAAGCTCCTGTCTTCTGACCATCAGGAAATTGGAGACATACATCACACTGTGTACGTACCAATGATGTCTAATACAGGATTGCTGGTTCTTGGGATGCTCAGCTAAACCTGATGTGGACACACAGATTTTATGGGGCCACAGAAATTCTAGTCACCTGGTCAAACAGAGACCACCATGGGACTGTCCCTGGTAGATACAAACCTGAGCTGACACAAACCCCTATGTAAATGCTTGACCATAGCTGCAATTTCTTTTTTTTTTTTTTTTTTTTGGGGGGGGGGGTACTAAGGATTTAATCCAGGGGCACTTTACCACTGAGTTATATTCCTAGACCTGCTTTTTTTTTTTAATTTTGAGGCGGGTCTCACTAAGTTGCTGAGGCTAGCCCTGAACTTGTGTTCCTCCTGACTAAGCCTCTGGAGTCACTGGAAATACAGGAGTGTACTACTGTGCCCAGCACAAGCTGCATCTCTCAGCACCGTGGCAACCTGGCTGATCTCACCTGCTCTGTGTCAGATCGATTCCGCTTTCCTTCAGCTGGAGCTCCATCACTTCGGATCACTTTGGGCTTCCGTTTTTTGCTGGATTCTGATGACATGGTTGTTCTTTAAGGTTAGGAGAAAACAAGAGAGAGCTGGTAAGAGGAAAAAGCTTTCAGGATTTTTTCTGAAGTAAGAATACTAAGTCTAACTAGCAACTCTAGTTATTTATAGATGTAGTAACTCAAGAAAAGCCACTCAACCTCTAAAGCTTGAGTGTAATCCTCTGTAAAACAGGGACTCATCTTTCAGCATGTCCAAAATGAACTTGTCTCACATAAATCCGTTCCCATTACCGCTCACTGGTCACTATGTGGTGGGCCTTGATCTAAGCACTTTATGGGTATGTTCTCATTTGATTACTATTAAAAAATTTTCAGATAAGAACCACTAACATTTTACAAATGAGAAAACTGAGAATTGCAAAGGCAAATATCTTGCCTATCCCACAGCTAGTACACTAAAACTTGGACCAATGTCAAAGCTCTTTTTTTAAAAAATATTAATTTTTTAGTTGTAGTTGGACACAATATGTTTATTTTATTTATTTATATGTGGTGCTGAGAATGGAACCCAGGGCCTCACACATGCTAGGTGAGTGAGCTACCCCAGCCCAATGTCAACGCTCTTGACAACTATAGTATTAGGCCTCCTAGTCTTGACAGCATTTCATCTGGTGATGCCATGATGGCTGAACCTAAAATTTAAAGAACAGAATGCACATTTCAGGGGGTTCTAGGCTCACAAAACATCCTCCCTTGTAGTCATCACCTCAGCCTCCTCAGGTAGGCAGCACTGTCCCTCTTAGTTAGCTGCCACACTTATTGGGGGGAGCCAACAGTGTGTTGAGGCAGAGTCAAAAGTGCACTAACTAGAATCTCCGCTCTACTATTTTATGGCTTCAAGTTCTGGGTCAAGTCACTTCACTTTTTTCAGGATCCGTTTCCTCACAAATCAAATGAGAATAACAGTCTCTATATCAGGGCTCATGGGGAGGGAAGGCATTAACACAAAAGACACTCTACTAGGAAAGATGATAAACTTGAGCTGGGGCTGTGGTGCATGGGTGATATTACGTAACACTGAATACCCAAGGAGAAAATTAATCCCTTTCAATTCTTTTTTGAAACTTCCAATTGCTTCAAGAACTTATATCTTCCATAATTTATTTTTGACATCTATGAATACCAAGGTTCACTTGTTTAAAAAAAAAACCAGGACTTTATCTCCAAGCCTTAGACAATGAAATCTGGGCAGAATTTGTTAACAAAGGCCTGTTTTCATTATATTAAATATATTTGTATCATTATCTTCTGCATAAAACAAATGAAAGCAATTTTCCAATTTTCATGGTAAAATAACTTGACATTTTTTCTCCAAGTATTTATGTTTAAAAAGTGAAACGGGGCTGGAAGTGTAGCTCAGTGGTAGAACGCTTGCCTAGCATGCCTAAAGACCTAGGTTCGAGCCCCAATAACCACCGCTCTCAAATAAATAAAGTGACTGGAATAAAAATATTTAGTAAACAAATTGTACAAGTGGCAAACTGAATTGGTAAACTCCACAAAGGTGGGACCCGAAATCCCAACACTGGAACACAATAGAATGCCCAGCACACAAGACTGCACAATAAACGTGAGCTGTTACCACCATCATTAACATCATGAGGCTACAAAGCAGGGCCTGAGGATGCTGCAGCAAACATTTTCCAGATGAGGATACAGCGCGGAGCCCGGGGACCAGGAACCCCAGGAGGAGAGGGCGGATAATCTGATTGGTACTCCAGCCCAGAGACACCCCTTGCGCTGTTTGCACCTCAGTCCAGAAGCGCCCAACCCGGTTCCACCGTGCCGCGGGTCACACCACCCTCTTCCCTTCCTCACCACACTGCTTCACCGACCGGCCCCGACTGGACTGCAAGCTACTTCCGGCCGCCAGGCAATCTAAGCGCATACACCATAGAGAAGCGGAAGAAAGGAAAGAGCGGCCTGGCGGAAGTAAGGAGCGGAGACCGGAAGCAAAGGCGAGGGCCCCGGAAACCCGCGGGTGCGCGTGGGAGGAAAGGAAGTGGCGGTTCTTATCAGGGGTTGCCCCTTCTCGCTCTCGGAAACCGGGTAACTTTGGCTGTGCGGTTAGGCTCTTCGGTGACTAGTTGTTTCCCCAAAGCGTAAAGCAGTCGCGCTACTAGTGGGCGCTCACTTCCCAAACTGTTTAAATAACTGTGATATGCAGAAGATTAGCACAAGAGCATGGCAGTGTCTAATTTGGTCCCTAGTGAATTTGCCTCCCAAATAGGGCCTTTCCTTTTTTCAATGGCACTAGGAATTGAACCCAGGAGCATTTTGCCTCTGAGCTACATCCCCAGCCTTTCAACTTATTTTGAGACCTGGTATAAGTTGCCAAGGCCGGCCTCCAACTTGTGATCCTCCTGCTTCAGCCTCCGGAGTCTCTGGAGTTATGGGCGCGGGCCACTTCACCCTCACTCAGCCATAACCCGACTACGACCATATTCCCCATAACACAATACACCAATGAAGGTGGCAATTCAGGGAGGGTAGAATTCAATTTTACACTGTTTTTTCCACAAGTGTGCATCACCTATTTCTCCATGTTAGTCTTGATTTGCCCAGTTCAGAATCACAACTTTTACGCAGATTTTGGATGCATCAAGTGTTTTCTATCCCCAGCATGAATTGTAAGGGTCCAGGATTTTTGGTGTAAATCCCATTTATCTGGAGCTACATTCAATATTCATTCCGAATTCCATGTTGTGCCCTTGGGTAAGGATGAAGATGCCCTCCTTGAGAGTAGCTCCAGAACACAGTACCCTCCAGAGAACGGATCACCAGGTGAAACTGAGAAGCCTGCCAGTTCTGCTTTGGGCTGAAATTACTTGCAAATGAGGAAAAGACACCATAATTTGTAGTAAATATTTAATTGATTCCATCAGCAACTCCAGCGCATTTTCCTGGTAAGGAGGCAGACTCAAGCTACCCAAGGGTTCATGAGGTATTGGGGTCACTGAGGAAGTCCCCAGAGTCACTGACCCTACTCCACAGGCTTCAGGCCCTGTAAAATAAGAGTTGGGCTGACAGAATGTCAAGTAAGGGGAAAATAATGCTGGATGAGGGAAATACAGGCCCTGTCCTGTAGTTTTGCCTGTAAGAAGGAGGGAGGGCAGGATAAGGGCTGGAACTACATATTTAAGTTCTCAATCCCAGATAAGCTTCTCTATCTAGTATTATGGACCTTCTTGCCAATTGGTCACCTTTATTCTGTCTTCCCAGTTCTGTTTTACAAATTGTGCAAGTTCTCTTGAGTTCTAAGTTCTAGTTTCTGTTTCATGTCTGTCTCTTGCTCCCAAATTAATCCTGCTCCAATCCCTTTTCCCAGCCTCTCTGGATAGATTCTGGATTTCATTCTAACCTTTAAGATTTGAGGGTTTATGGCAATACCAGGCTTTTCCCCAACAAGTGGGACTTGACTCAGTCTTTGCTTATGCAGTAAGGATGGCACAGTGGAGATCAGGGAATTCCTCAAAGCCTGGCCTGGTCTGACCTCCTCCTTTCACACTACCTTCTGTGCAACTATGCTAACCCAAGGGTTTCCATGCTGATACCTGGGACTGGTGGCCTTGATTATGAGGAATCTCGGGGAGAAATGTGAGAAGTCCTAAAAGGTTGCTATTCTTCATTTAGGGAAATTAGAAACTACCAGCAGAGGGGAAAGAGGTGAGTGGAAAGGCTTAGGGAAGGATGGATCTGGACAGAGCTTAAGTCCTCAGAGCCTTGTCATCTTTGTCTGAGCTGTGCACTACCCTTCAGAGTCTTCCCAGAGCCAAGAGAAATCAGGACTGGGAACTCCTCTGTCCTGGCTGCCTTGAGGGAGAAGGGGAAGGAGCTAGAGCCATCAGCAGCATCATTGTAGAGGCGAAATCTTCAAGGGGATCATGATCCGAGACTCCATGTGTCGCACCAAGGGGACTGTGGAGAAAGGAAGAGGTTGGGATAGGGGTGTAGACAAGCCAACAACCCCTCATACACACATGGACACACAAGCCGTTGAAAGAAGAGGCAGCTCAGATGCTGAAACAGGAAAGACTCATTGCCTTCCTAAAAAGGCGGATTGAAAGCATCAGGTCTCCCAAATTATGGAATGAGACAGGACTTTCAGGGTAATGAGATGAACATTTTTATTGTTCTGCTTTTTGGTACTGGGGATTGAACCCAGGGGCACTTTACTACTAAGTTACCTCCCAGTCCTTTTTAGTTTTTTATTTTGAGACAGGTTCTTACTAAATTGCTGAGGCTGGCCTCAAACTTGTGATCCTTCTGCTTCAGCATCCAAAATTGCTGGATTATAGGCGTGTACAATGGTGCCCAGCAGAAAAATTAAAAATTTACCTTCGTGTATATGTGGAAAAATAAGTGGCATAGGGCTAGGGATTTAGCTCAGTGGGACAACACTTGACTAGCATGCATGAGACCCTGAGTTCATCCCTAGCACCACAGAAACAAAAAAACCGAAAACTATCATAGTATAAAAATGCTTTCACAGATATTATTGCTAAGGACAAAGTAGGGAGATTTAAAGAAAGATATCAAAAAATCATTGTAAAGGTGGGGGTGTAGCTCAGTGAGAGTGTGTATGCTTATGAGCATGTGCAAGGTCCTAAGTTTAATTCTTGGCACTAAAACCATTTTTTTTTTTTTTCCAGTGCTGGGATTGAACCCTGGGCCTGTGCATGCAAGGCAAGCACTCTACCAGCTGAGTTATATCCCCAGCCCTAAGACAACTTTTTAAAAAAACTGGTAGGCCAGGCACAGTGGCGCACACCTATATTCCTAGTGGTTTGGGAGGCTGAGGCAGGAGGATGGTGAGTTCAAAGCCAGCCTCAGCTATTTAGTGAGGTCCTAAGGAAGTTAGCAGGACGCTGTCTCTAAATAAAATATTTTTTAAAAAAAGGGCTGGTGATGCGGCTCAGTGGTTAAGTGCCCTTGGGTTCAATCCCTGGTACAAAAAAGAAAAAAAAAATTGTGGTAGTACAATGGAGAACAAAAGCTGTGAGGGGATCCTCAAGGTGCTGAGGTTTGAAAAACACTGAGTTAGTTCAACCACCTCATTTTACAGATGGGGAATCTGCAACCCAGAGAGAAGAGGGTCAGCTCAAGGTTACTCAGGAGGTTAGACTCTTTCCTCCTGCTCAGAGCTTTTCAGACTCTAATGTGCATACAAATCACCTGTAATTTCTTGTTACAGTGCAGATTCTGATTCAATAGGCTGGGGGAGGCTGATGCAGCATTTCTTACAAGTGTCCAGAGGATGCCAACATTGTCAATTGGAACCACACTTTGAATAGCAAGGCTCCAGCTACCTTTTTTGGAAGAGACATTCTTAGCCAGGAATGGTGCATGCCTCTAATCCCAGTGACTCAGGAGGCTGAAGCGTGAGGATTACAAATTCAAGCCCAGCCTCTACAATTTAGGGAGACCCTAAACAACTTAGTGAGACCCTGTCTCAAAATAGAAAATAAAAAGACCTGGGGATGTGACTCAGTGGTTAAGCACCTTTGTTCAATCCTTGGTCTCTGCCTCCCCTCGAAAAAAAGACATTGTTCCTGACACTAGCTGTTAAGTGTGGAAGCTTAATTATGCTCAAGAGAAGGGACAGGCTCTTATTTATGAGGCTCCACCCACCCACCACAGTTCCCCACAGATAGTCAACATCTACTGACTCTAGGTGGTTCTCTGGGGTTCTAGTGGCAAACACCATGAGCAAAAAACTTGCTTAAAAACTTTACTGAATGATTTCTCTATGCCAGAGTCAGGACATAGCACTTTTTAGCCAGACATGATCCCAGTGACTTGTGAGGCTAAGGTAGGAGGAGACACAAGGCCAGCTTCAGCAACTTAGTGAGGCCTAAACAACTTAGATGAGACCCTGTTTCAAAATAAAAAATAAAAAAGGGCTAGGGATGTGGCTCAGTGGTTAAGTACCCCTGGGTTCAATCTGCTGTACAAAAGGGGTGAGGAGCACTTTTCATACATTAGTTCATGAAGACCTCTCTGTAGCCATCTGAGGGAAACTAGTACTATCACTCTCTCACAGATGAGGAAGCAGCCTCAGGCACTCAGCTATAACACCAACACATCTCCATCCCCCGAGAGTACTCACTTAAGACTGCTTATATCATGTGGAAAGTACCACTATGATAAAAACACACAAACTTATTGTTTAAAAGTGAATTCTGAAGCCAGGCACAGTGGCATGTCCTTGTAATCCCAGTGACTTGGGAGGCTGAGGCAGGAGAATCACAACGTCAAAGCCAGCCTCAGCAATTTAATGAGACCCTAAGAAACTTAGTGAGACCTTGTCTCAAAATTTTAAAAAAGAAAAAGGGGTGGGGATGTAGCTCAGTGGTAAAGCACTCTTGGGTTAAATCCCCAATACCAAAAAAGAAAAAAAAGAAATGAATCCCCCAATTACTGGATGTGAAACTAGATCTCTTTGTAGAGGGGATTGCATCCTTTCATTCTCAGACAGGGCTCCCAGCAGATGACCTCCAAAGGTCCCAGTGACTGCCAGAATGGTGCTCACCTGTATAGTAGACATTTTCATCCCAGCCCCTCTTCCTCCAGGCAGCATTTCGAGTCTCCTCCCGAGACTGCAGGTCTTTATAAGCTGTGGGAAAGGCACAGAGGATCTGATCCCTTCTCCAGCACAGGGTCCCCTTTCCACTGCGCCAAATTCTGCCCAGCTTTTTTTTTTTTTTCTTCCCCAGATGCCTCCCTTGGACTATTAGCAAACAATGTCTACTTTGTCAATCTTATCCAACCAGATGTACAAAAAAGATTAATTTCAGATGACCACAAATACTGCTATTAGAAAAGAGACAGGGAGATAAAGAAGACAAGAAAAGCCTCTCTGAGGGGGTGAAATGGAAACTCAGAGCTACAGGAGGAGGAGCTGGCTGTGAATTGCTGGGCGATGGCATTCTTAAGGGAAAAGCACTTACAAAGGCCCTGCAGTGGGGAATGGCCTTCAGGGTTTAAGGCGTGGACATGTCAATTCCAAAATGTATATGTTTAGCCCCAAACTCTCCTGTGGATTCCAGACTGCATTGCAGTGCCCATGTGACATCTTAAGTATGTCAGTATCTTAAATGTAACATTCTGAGGGCCAAAATTACACTCCTGACTCCTCCTCCTTGCTCTTCTCCTTGCTCCACCACAGACGATTCATTCTCAAGTTCCACTGGTTGAACCTCTAGACTAATGAATCTGTGGACATCTCAGCAGTCCACTGCCACTTCCTGAGGCTAGGCCCCATCCTTGTCTGCATGAACTGATGGAGCATCTCCTGAGGCCCAGCTTTCTCTTTTGCTTCCCTACCAAACACCCTCAGTAACGCACACAGCAGCCAGAGGAATCCTGTTAGAAGGCTGCTCCAGCCTCCCACTCCATTTATGATAAATCCCAGCTCTTCTCTGTGGCCTGTAAGGCTCAGCCTGATCTGGTGTCTGTTCCTTCTCATATCCTGTCTCACTTTATTCCCCACTCATTCCATACCAGTCTCCTTTCTCTACCTCAAACCTCAAAGGCCTTTCCTCATTGCATGGCCTTTGCACATGCTGTTCTCTCCATTCACAATGCAATTCACAGCTGGCTCCTTCTCACCCTTTAATTCTGAGCTTACATTTACCCCTCAGAGAGGCCTTTTCTACCCAAGCCCATATAGGTTCTCCGTGTTTTTTCCTATCATCTCCCCCAGTCTCTTTTCTACAAATAATATTTGTAATCATCTGAAATGAGTTACTTTGGCTTGTTTACATCTGAAGTAATGTCTCCCTCTACTAGTCTGTAAGTTCCACAAGGGTACTAATGTATCCCTCTGGTTTACAGAGTGCTAATGGATAAAGGGGACAAACAGAAAGCTCCTGGAAGGTCCCTGACCTACCCCAGAGGTGGTGCACAACGTAGAGCTCTCCTATCTGTGAGAAGAAGCCGCCTACTGCCTCCTGGTTCTCCTGTCGGTACTTGATGGCCCGAGCCCTAGAGATGGCAGAGAGTGTGGGGCAGGAGCCAGTCTGGTGCACAGGGCCTCCTGAGCTGGACCCAGGCTGATTCCTTGGCCACACCTCACAGCAGAGGGCTGAGGTGGGGCCCGTGGCTCTCAGAGATGCTGAGGGAATAGGATAATGGAGATACAGATGCTGGCTGCTTTCCTACAAAGGGAAACCTCACCATTTACTAGGAGATCTGCATCTCCTCATAGGATCTTTCTCCAGGATCTGGGAGGGACAGAGGATGCTGGGTTTCCTGTGACATGGCCCTGGGAAAGTGGCCCACCAGAAGCCGTGCTGGGGCAGGACAGCAAGCATTCCCCACATTCCCAGCCCCGATGCCACCACTCACCAGTTGTTCCCCCACTCAATCATGGTTCCTGGCTGAAAGAGAACCAGAAAGAGGAGGGGAATGAGCCCCCACCTTGGATTCCTAGCATCATAACATGGCAGAGATGAAAAACTGTCCTATCTCCCTAGCTCCGGGAGCAACTTGGAAATAGGCCCCATTCATGAGCCCTGACTTACACCTGGAATGCAGGTACAGACATGAATGTACACACCTCTGCTCCAAGCACATAGGAAGGAAAAGGCCAGAAATACAGACTATGTGCTGGGGCACATGGCCCACCCACCTAGGGGCATCCATAGAGCAACATGCAGCAGGGAGGGTGGGGGACAAAGGGGATCTTTTGGGAGGGAGATACCTTGAGCTTGTATGTTCTCAGTTCATAGATGTTGGGGCCCGCTCTAGGCTGTGGCTCATTCCAGAAGCTAAACTCCAGGAGCAACTGGTTTCTCCTAGATAGCAGCATACAGCTCCGCTCCTTTCGGAACTCCAGGTACTCCTGTGGGCATGGCAGTATGGGTACAGCAGCTAGGAAGTGCCCTCCACCCCAGCAGTGTGCCCTGTGGGCTAGTGGAGGAGCCCCCAGCAGCAGGGCTGGGCCAGAACTAATATCCAAAGAGGTTGGTCAAGTGGACACTGACATACCTTGTTGTTTTTGAGCTTGTTCATGCAGTCCATGAGGGCCGGGTAGCCGCCTGAGAATCTCCACAGGTGCACTGTTGTGGGGAGGTACAGATCAGGGGACTTCCAGGATCCCGCCTGGCTCATGCAAGTGTGGATGTGGCAGTGTGCATGGAGGGTGAGATAAGGCTCGATGGAGAAGGACTCGCAGGTCACAGAGGGTACAGGAGAATCCCGGCCCATGTTTAGCAGGGGAGTGAGGCAACAAGATGTGTGTTGAGAAAGACCCTCCCCTGCTAGGAGCTGTTGTGAAAGGAGTACAAGGCAGAGAGATGAGAGAGGTCTAGAGGACAGAGTGAGTAGTTAGTGCGTCTGAGGCAATAAAATCAAAAATCATCTTATACTGGTAATATATTTGTAGGAGCATACAGAAAGATGAGTAGGTGGTGTTAGGGAGATGGGCACCTCACCTGCCTGGTCCTGTTCCCCATACCATGTGTTCCAGTTGCCCACAAGTGAGCAGGGATAGTCCTCATCCAGGTGCAGCTTAGGCAGCACAGCCTCCCTGTGGGAGGAACACAGAGAGAGAGGACAAGGCTCACACCAGCCAATAGGGCCCTATGAATAAGGGTTCCAAATCAGGCCCCCTGAATCAGAGCTCAGTCTATCTCTAAGATGCACAGGCTGGACAAGACATCCTTAGGACTTCCAGCAAGGAAATCCACATCTCCTGGATTTTGGCAAGAAGGAGGGAGAAGATGTTCTGAGGCTTTTCTGGGATTGGGGTTCCTCAAGCAGGGGCTACGACAGGCCAATGGAGAAAAGATGCTCACGTCAGGCTGTTGTAGGCATCCAGACACTCAGGCTTCACATTGTGAACTGCAACAGAGGACAGATAGTGGGAGGTGAAACAGGGTGTGTGTGGGTGTGTCTTCATTTGGGGTGGGTGGAACCATTAAAGCCAAAGCTCCCAGGATAGCAGAGAATGTTCCCAACCTTTCATCTCCATGTTGGAACCTCAAAGAGACCTGAGACCCTGAGAGGGAAGGGCTGTCAGCCCAGCAGCCACTCACACTGGATCTTATAGAGGTTGCTGGTCTCCTTCTTGGACAGCAGGGTGGAGTGGGCATCCTTCCGAGGATCCACCTTGTGGACAAAGAGGGACCGAAACCAGCTGCCTTCATTGTCCTTGGAATAGAAACTGTAGGACAAAAAAGTTTAGGGAGACATGCACGGGTAGTAATTCCATCTGCCTAGATGTCTTGCTCTGGGATTAGAGATGTAGATCAGTGGTACAGCACTTAACTACCAAGCCTGAGGACCTGGGTTCGATCCCCAACACCCCCACCAAAAAAAAAAAAAAGTGTCAGATGTCTTACTCCCCAAGGCTGGTGATTTTGGGCCATGGAATCCCATTGCAGCTTGAGTGTGAAATGCCAACAACCTGGCTGACTTGAGATCCCAGCTGTCCAGTCTGCAGCTTTGTAGGATCTCAGAAGTATGGGAGAGGCAGCCTCACCTCTAACCTCTCTCTTTAGCCTCCTTTCATATACTTCCCCCTTTCCCAAAGGGTCTTCTACTTGGGCCAACAATTGTAGCCACTTACAAGAGAATCAACCCCTGCTTGAGATTTGCTGGGATTGGGGTCTTGTCAAGGGCTTGCCTAAGTCCTTGACAACCCAACCTATCTCGTTGCCCCCCCACACACACACACCTGTGTTTGCCACTTTCCAGGTGTACTCTACCCTGAACACACCAGGCTCTTTTACTATGTTGCTTCTTTGTAATTTCTGTCCCTTCCGATGGGAAGACTGTACTCACTGTCTTCCCCTCAGCTCATACTGCACTTGCCCTGTGCCCACTTAGGTCCTACAGAGAGCCAAACACAAATAAGCCTTGTCCTTGAGGAGGTCACAGTTCACTTTAAGACACCGGGTGAGCAGGCCTTAAACTCTGCCTTCAGCAGTCTGGGAAGTGAGGAGATGACTTGGTCAGTCTCCAGGGCTGATTTGGCAGATACAGGCAGAGGGTGGGTAAGAAGCATTACAAGGCCTTGATTTATTCACTGGGCCAAAGCTGGCCCACCCAGATAGGGTGCAGTGAAACACAATAAACCAGTGAACATGATTATGCATTTTGATTATGAGACTGTAGTTTAGAGCTGGGGGACCTGTGGAAGATCCTGCCAGTTGGGGACTGTTACCTCCCCATACATATGCAAGGTTCCAGCAAGGGCAGGCTTATTTTGAGACTGTCTCCTTATTCTGTGGTCTCATGGCCTGGCCTGAAAAGCAAATGTGCTGGAGAGATGGTGTGTAGCAGCAGCAAACCCTCTTCCTTTTCAAGCCTCTAGCAAATAACAACATCACTTTTGCTGGGCATGGTGGCGCACACCTTTAATCTAAGCAGCCTGGGAAACTAAGGCAGGAGGATCCCAAATTCAAAGCCAGCCTTAGCAACTTTAGTGAGGCTGTAAGCCACCTAGTGAGACCCTGCCTCAAAATGAAAAGTAAAAAGGGCTGGCAATGTACAAAGCTCCTGGGTTCTATCCCTGGTACCAAAATATGGATCAGCCTCTGGGACTGATAAAATAAAAAGATCTAGAGGGCTGGGGTTGTGTAGCTCAGTGGTAGAGCACTTGCCTTGTACACTTGAGGCCCTGGGTTCAATTTTCAACACCATATAAAAATAAATAAAAATAAAAATATCGCATCCATCTACAACTAAAAAGAAAATATATATATATATATATATATATAAAGAAAAGATCATGGGACCAGAGGTATTGCTCAATGGTAGAGCGAGTAGTTAGTGCGTCTGAGGCAATAAAATCCTCAGCAATAAAATTAAAAATCATCTTATACTGGCAATATATTTGTAGGAGCATACAGAAAGATGAGAAATTATTTTTCAAAACCATTAATTCAGTAGTGTCTCCTTATCTGTGAGAGATATATTCCAAGACCCCCAAACCCTATATAAACTATGTTTTTTCAAACTATGTGTATACTTATGCTAAAGTTTAATTTATAATCCAGACACAGTAAGAGATTAACAATGCTAATAATAAACTAAAAGAAATATAACAATATTCTGTAATAAAATCATGAATGTCATCTCTGTTTACTTCTGGAATTTTCCATTTAATATTTTCCAACTACAATTGGTGGCAGATAATGGAAATCATGGTAAATGAAACAAGGGATAAAGGAGGACTACTATATTGCTTTCCTGGGAGAGGGAAGAGGCAGATGGTTAAATTTTTCTCTATTAATTTTAAGTTTTTCTAAAAGATAAAAACTATTGGTTTAAGCATTTCTAAATTACCTGTCAATCACTGTACATATATTTATTTTATTAACAAAAAGCAAAAAGATAATTATCAATAGATGGATAGCATGGTCTGGGAAATTAGGAGCCTCTAAGCCAGGGATCCCTGATGAATTTTTTTTTTTAATATTTTTTTTAGTTGTAGATGGAGACAGTACCTTTGTTTCTATTTTTTGTGGTGTCGAGGATCGAACCCAGTGCTTCATGCATGCTAGGCAAGCGCTCAACCACTGAGCCACAACCCTGGGCACCCCCGATGAAATTTTCAGTTATATAATCTCACTGAATCCATGCAATGACCTTATATTGTTGGTACTACCACTGTCCCCATTTCCAGGAGGATAAAATAGAAGCTCAGAGTTCAAGGGATTTGCCAAAGTCACACAGAAAATTAGGGAGCAGAGTTCTTTTCTGTCTTCTTCCTTTCTTTATTTCTATTTATTTATTTAGGTACCGGGGATTGAACTCAGGGGGACTCAACCACTGAATATACTCCCAGCCACTTTTTAAAATTTTATTTATAGACAGGGGCTCACTTTGCTAAGCACCTTGCTGTTGCTGAGGCTTTGAACTTGTGATCCTCCTGTCTCAGCCTCCCGAGTTGCTGGGATTATAGGCGTGTGCCACCATGCCCAGCCCAATTTATTTATTTTCTTATTCTGAGTGAGGGTTTTGCTAAATTGCCAAGAGTGGCCTGTAATTTGCAATCCTCCTGCCTCAGCCTCCCAAGTAGCTGGGATTATAGGCATGCAATATTGCACCTGGCAAGAGCTCTTTCCTTGAAGGTCAGCCCTCTCACCTCATGTAGGCACTGAGGGACCTGACCTTGGTTTGAATGTAAAGGGGCTGCTAATTCCTGGAGGAGAGTGGATCTCTATTTGTCAACCAAGACCTTTGCTCCACAGCTAGGCTTCCTATAATTTATTAACATCAGTAGTACCAAGATAAATAGGCAGTTATCTAGTCCTGAGGAAAGTGCTAGGGGGCTAAAATGCTGGGGAGGAGAAAAGGACCCAGGAGCTCTGATGGGCTCCCATCTCTTCCCACTATCCTCTAATCCTTTCTGCCTATGGGCTTCAGTTTCTGCATTTGTTAAGTGAGCAGGGCAGAGCAACCCACTTTGAAATATCTTTTTCTAAGGTAAAATCCAACAATTGACTTGTCCAAAATCCTGGGATGGATCTGAACTCCAGCACCTTCAAGTACATATTTTGAAGAATTCAAGTTTCACTTTTTCAGTGAATCTGCAATGTCCTATCCTTGATCTTCTCAACCCCATTCACACTGCTCTTTTATTTTGTCTGCAGTGACTTCTAAAACACCATGTCTGGGTACAGTGGCACACACTTGTAATCCCAGCAGCTCAGCAGACAGAGGCAAGAGGATCACAAGTTCAAGGCAAGCCTCAGCAACTGAGTGAGGCCATAAGCAACTAGGATATGGCTCAGTGGTAGAGTGCTTGCCTCACACATGTGAGACACTGCTGAGTTCCATCCTCAGCAACACATAAAAACAAATAAATAAAGACATTGTGTCCATCTTAAAAAAAAAAAAAAAAAAAAAGCATTATATCAGGGCAGGGGGTGTAGCTCAGTGGTAGAGAACTTGCCTAGCATGCACAAGGACCTGGGTTTGACATCCAACCCTACAAAAAATAAAACACATTGTATCAAAAAAAATTTTTTTTGTTACTTATTATATACTAAGTTTATTGTCTGTGTGCCCATCAGAAGCAGCCCCACTAGGCAGCGACTTGGTCTGTTCTGCTACATCTCCACTTTATCCCCAGTTTCTGGAATAGGACTGGGTACATGGTATCTGTGACTCAATCTGTATTTGGGAAATCAATAAATGGGCTGAGCAGGAAGGGTTAAGATATAGTTGCAATGAAAATGATGAAAGCTGGAGGTAAGAAAGGAAAGAAATTTTGGAACTTGGCCTAGAATACAGACTCAGGAATCAAGGACCTTTTTCATTCTCAACAACAGCAGAATTAGCCCCTAAGAGCACAGACTCTGGACAAACCCAGGTTCTAGTCCTAGCTCAGCTTCATCTTTCTGGGCCTCACTTTCCTCATCGGTAAAATAGGAGCCACTGAGCAGGTCTTTAGAGAAAGGGCCTAACATACAGTGCAACTAATATCACCATCCCTACCTACTTACCTTCCTACTGGATCTCCCAGCTCCCACTTTCCCCATCTTTTCCTAATCTGCTCCTCTATCTTTAAAGTGCCTTTTACCTTTTTCTTTCTTTTCTTTTTCCTAAAGGGATGGGTATGGAACCCAGGGCCTCTAGCATGCTACGCAAGTGCTCTACCACTGAGCTACAGTCCCACCCTTTAAAGCATCATCATATGTATGTGTATGTGTTTGTATATATATGTATATACATATATATATATATATACATATATATATATATGTATATATATGTATATACATATATATATAGTAGATGGACACAATACTTTTATTTATTTTTTATATGGTGCTGAGGATCGAACCTAGTATCTCACATGTACTAGACAAGCACTCTACCTGAGCTACAATCCCAGCCCAAGCACCATTTTTAAGATGCCCAATGCCTCTAAAACAAAGGTTGAAGGTCTCCTCTGGGGATTCTAGATTTTATCTACTTTGGTGAGGGTTCCAGAGTGAATTCCTTTTTGAAGTTGGCAACTAGAGAGCCAGGATTCCCTATCTCAGCAGGTATCAAACTAACAGTGTCAGTATTACCTGGGAACTTGTGAGAAATTCTTAGGCCCCACCCCAGTAGTGCAACAAAAACTCTAAGGATAGGTTTAGCAGTCTGAGTTTTTATAAGCCCACTGGGGATTCTGATATAGGCACAAGGTTGAGGATCATTGCTTCAGAACTGTTCCAATTTCATCTTTTCTTCATGTAATCTCAGTAAATCATCTCAGAAATGCCAAAAATCCTGGAATCTAAACTATATTAAGAATGCCACTTAAGCTCAGAAAAACAAGATAAAGTTTTGTCCAATCTGTTAGAAGGATCTGCCCCAGCTAGACTGCTCCAGCCCTTCCCCACAAAAATATCTCTAGTATTTCCCCCTCAACTCTTTCATCAATGTTATCTGGATATGTCTTTTTCCCTAGGCACATGGGATGCTACTAGTTAATGTCTTTCCATCTCCCAGATACCCAGTATAGTGCTTTTGACATAGTAGTTGCCAATAAATATTTGACCCAGATGAGAACTTTTCTCTCTCTTAAGGAAAAGCTATTGTAGATGACATATTCATACTGCCAATAGTGATCAACAGTCTGATGCCTCCCCACATAAAACCCAGAATGTTCTAGTTTATACACTAAAAGGCTTGGCTCTATGCATGTCTCATTTGAAAAGCTTGACTTTAGAGAGGGGCTGCATTTCTGCTTCTTGTTCTAGGGCTGTCTTCAGCTAGAAGAACTGAAATTTTGTTAACAAGACAACTGAAGCAGCAGTTAAAAGTAACCAGTGTTACTTATTATGAGCACTTACTGTATGCTAAATATTAATCCTTACAGCATATTTTTAAAATAATGAGTCTGGCACTGAGGATATAGCTCAGTGGTGGAACACTTCCCTAGCATGCACAAGGTCCTGGGTTTGATCCCCAGCACCACCCATCCACCCACCTACACATGAAATACAAGGAGGCTCAGAGATGTTTCCAATTCAGGTCTGTCTGATCTCAAGGCCCAGCCTCTGTTTCCATCCCAGCAGCCTCATTGCCCCCAAACCTCAAGAAACCAGAAGGGCTATTGATGGTCCCACTAATGACTCCAGAAAGGAGGCAGGCAGAGGATCAGCAAGAGGTACCCAATGTGGGACCACAAACTATAAAACTGCAAAACAGTTTTTGAGGGACTTGATAAATACTAATCTATATGCCTTCCCAGCAATCCAGTGAAAAGTGCCAAGCAGGGATTACCATGCCCACTTTACAGAGAAGGAAACCATAGCTCAGTGGAGCTTTAATGACACATCCCAAGTTACCAAATGCAACTGAGGACAGCAGGCTGTCTCTAAGTCTCCCACTCCTTTTGTAGCCCCTGGGTATCCACACAAATGATTTTATCACCAAATGATTCTGTTCCTTCCCCAATCTCAATGTCTTCACCTAGAAAACATGGGCCTACAAAAGATTATCTCCATGAGGCCTTTTCAACCCTGACATTTTGTGGGGTCTAGGGTAGAAATCGCCTGAGATACAGGTTTGAGCAAGGGATAACACTTGAGTGCATCAGGTGACACATCACAAGCATGACCTCTTCAGTCCTCAACACTCCTAGGATATACATCCTATTTGTCATCCTCATTTTACAGATAAGGAAACTGAGGCTTGAAGAAGTCAAATGTCATACTGAAGGGCACCTTTCAAAAAATGGCTGATTTAAATTTGCTAGCGCCAGGCAAACTCCAGGTTCATTTTATGATGTCAACCTTCTCATTCATTATCAGGTAGTCCAGGTGAGGGGCACATGCTTGGCTCCTATTTCCCAGTGTCCAAAGGGCTCACTGCATAGTGCTCTAACATCTCACAGGTTTAACAGAACTCTGCAGCTTCACTCCTGGGCTGCTGGGCAGGAGGAAATACTGCTTCCTTTTCACAAGTGGGAGAAAGTGTTCTCACTTCTTTGGCAAATATTCTTGAGCATATACTGTCCTGATCCCTGTGGGGGTGGGGAATTGAGGAAACAGAAAAATTAGGTAATGGTCTAATGGGGCAGATAGATAAGCACCAAGTCATAAGTACACAGGGTGATATGTGCAGATATGGGGGAAGTACAGGGCACTGAATGGAGGAGGGAGGAGTTGCCTAGAGTCACTCAGGGGAAGCCAAGCCCTGTCTCAGCCCAGGACAAACAAAAGCCTTGGGTGAGCACATGGTCCGGCCAGCCTCCCTCCCCCAGAAAGCCATCAGTTATGGTGCAAAGTGCAAGGTACACTCAGGCTCCACTACTGCCACTGCACAGCATGGAGACTGACCTTGGACAATTCCCATCTTAGGCTTCTGTTGACCCACCTGTACAGTTCAGAGTGGGGAAGCAAAAGATCTGTAAGGCAATGGTCCTTGGGGCACCCCCACCTGTACCCTCGCCCTCATCTCTTCCTCCTAGAACTTGCTGAGGAAGAAAGTGCCTCGCCCAGAAACCCCCAGCGGGTGCTAAATCATAGTCTCAGGCAAAGGCCCCAGGAAAGGGGCAATACTACTATCCTTGGTTCCCCCAGAACCTGCCCCTCCCACTCAATCCATCTTTCATTCTTCAGGGACAGCCAGATTCCCACCAGCACAAAGACCCTGCCCTTACTTTCTCACCTCCCCCATTCTTTCCCAGACCCTCCCCAGGCCTAGATCCTGGCTCCGCCTCTAATCCTTGGACTCCAAACCAGGAGTCTCCGCCCCTCCCCCAGGCCCAGACCCTGGCCGCCGCCCCTGCAACTCAGCGCGCGGCCGCCGCCTCCCAGCCAGGCTCTCACCGCGTCGCAGCCGCAGCCGCGACGTCCCCTGCGCGGGGTCCCGGGTTCCCCAGCACCCGCCGCGCCGCTGCAGAGATGCTGCACAGACGCGGAGCCATGTTGTAGCGGCGCAGGTTGGAGGAAGGCCCCGCCCCCGAACCCGGCGGCGGAGGCGGGGCGCTTGTAGGCTCCGCCCCTTCAAGTCGCCTGGCCTCCCTCTGCTCTTGGCCGGGTGGGCGCTGCGCACCTGCGTTCTCCAGCTCCGCAGGTGCTCGGTAGAGAGCCTGGTGCAGATTTCTGAGCTCTTGAGGCTCTACGGCTGACTCGCTCTGTTGTCTTGAACAAGCCTTTTCCCACTCTGGGTCTCAGTGTTCAACTCGATAAAACGGGAGCCTCAAACAGTGATACCTGGGATCCAGAGAATGGGCCAAGGAAAGTCAGTAAGCCCCCTGAAATTGTATACAAGATTATGTGAGTTCTCCCATCCCCAGTGCTGGGAATCAAACTCAGGTGCTCACACATGCTAAGAATGTGCTCTGCCCACCCCTCCCTCTGGGGCATGACTACCCTTTATCATACTATCAAAGAAACAAACTCTTTAACAATTTAAGACAATTGGGCAAGACTCTGGACAACCACTGTGTTTTCTCTCCAGCATCTTTTGCTTTTTAATCTTCCTTTACCTTCTCTGTACGAACCTCCTAGACCTCACATACACTTTCAAAGTTCCTTTGCCTGTCGTCCAAATTAATTCCTTCTCAACCCATAATCCCTCAGATAACAGACAGGAATGGAAAGCCTAAAGATCCCACGGTGGGCGGACCCAGGGACAGAGCTACACCTCCCCCAAAAGAATGTCCACCCACTCACTGGTGTTTTCCTCCTGGTGTGCTTGGGTGGAGAGTTGGAGGGCAGGCTTTAATTTCTTGATTGTTTTAAATAGTGAATCTGCCTGGCTAGGCCCTGTGCTCTGAGACACCAAAAATTGACAGAACAAGCACCATACTGCTCAGCGGGTCCGAAGAATATCAAGTCACCACTGATTTTGAACCCCTCCAGGGCGAGGCCTCAGCCGCTTATCCTTCCCTCATCTCTCCTGCCTGATGTATTAAGGATTTACCAAATAAGTGAAAAATATTCATACAGATACATTTGCCAATTGTGATAGAGGCTATGAAGAAATATGGGTAGAACTTGTAATGGGGGTGAGGAAAGCATAGGGAAGTTCTTTAAAGACTTCCAATATCTGTGATGACTTTTGTAAGGAAGTTATATTTGAATGATGTTTTTCTTTTTTCCCTAAGTTTTCTTTTTCTTTTCTTATTTTTTTTTTTAGTTGGGGGGCGGGGGTTACCAGAATGAACCCAGGGGCGATTAACTGCTGAGTCACATCCCCAGCCCTTTTTTGTTTTATTTTGAAACAGGGTCTAAGAGCCTCCTAAATTGCTGAGGCTGGCTTTGAACTGAAAATCCTCCTGCTTCAGCCTCCTGAGCAGGTGTCAGCCTTCTCTTCTGGTGCCTTTCCTAATTTTTCTAAAGTTGCTACAATGAACATGTATTTTGTGACTTATTTAAAAAGGAAACTGTATATCAACTTGATAAATGGAAAGCAGAATTAATTGTCATAAGCAGGTGGAATCATCAAAATAAATGCAATGAAAACAACAGTATTGATGTTCCAATGTAGCTAAAGCAGAGGCTATGAGTTTATAGCTTGAGCCCTTTGATAACAAAGTAAAGCACCTAGAAGGGGTCAGAGGCATAACTGTGCCCCATTTATGTGCACATGTGCTCTGTCTCTCTGTCTCTCTCTCTCTCTTTTTTTTTTTTTTTTTTGGACCCGAGATTTAACCCAGGGTCATTTTACCATCGAGCCACATCTCCAGCCCTTTTTAGTTTTTGTTTTTGAGTCAGGGTCTTACTGAATTGCTTAGGACTCACTAAGTGTCGAGGTTGAACTTGAACTTGCAATCCTTCTGCCTCAGCTTCCCAGGCCACTGGGGTTACAGGCGAGCACCACTGGCACCTGGCCCTAATTGCTGTTTGAGGTTATAAGAAAACCTGAAAGCAGTGAGTTTTTCATTCTGGAAATCAGTGTATTCTCTACAGGGCCCCCAGTTACAGCCACTCTGGAAAAACCAGATGGGTAGACAGAGGAAGAGCAAATGGAGACATCACTAGAGTCATGCAGTGGGAGCTTGTTCTTCCCTTAGAAACCAAGTGTGACAGACTGAGTGTAAGAGACAGAAGCAACCACTTGCAGAAGGCCTGACTTTGGACTTGAATTTCTAAGGATGAATAGAAGTTTTCCAGGAGTAGAGGGAAGGGAAAACCTCAGAAGCAATGTGTACACAATACAGTTGTCCTCAGAAAATCTGTGGAGGGTTGGTCTTAGGACCTCTTATAGATAAAAAGAAAACCCATGGATGGGGCTGGGGTTGTAGTAGAACTCTCGCCTAGCATGTGCAAGGCCCTGGGTTTGATCCTCAGCACCACATAAAAATAAATAAATAAATAAACAAACAAACAAACAAACAAATAAATAAAGGTATTGTGTCCAACTACAACTGAAAAATAAATATTAAGAAAAACCCATGGATGTTCAAGTCCTTTATATACCAATAATATTCGTATAACCTATGTGTTTCTAACATCAAAGATTATGTGTATGTTAATGTAAATAGTTGTTATACTAGTAACAAAAAATAAGACAAGCCAGGCAAGCCAGGCATGGTAGAGCATGTCTGTAATCTCAGTGGCTTGGGAGGCTAAGGCAGGAGAATCACAGGTTTGAAGCCAGCCTTAGCAACTTAGTGAGGCTATGAGCAACCTAGTGAGACCCTTTCTCAAAATAAAAAAATAAAAAGGGTTGAGGATGGAGCTCAGTGGTTAAGAGCCCTTGGATTCATTCCCTGATACCAAAAATTAAAATAAAAAATACTTATTTTACTGTATTATTTAGGGAATAGTGATAAAAAAAAAAGTTTGTACATGTTCAGTACAGACACTATTTGGGAGGGAGATCCCAGGGATTGAACTCAGGGGCACTCAACCACTGAGCCCCATCCCCAACCTTATTTTGTATTTTATTTAGAGACAGGGTCTCACTGAGTTGCTAAGTGCCTCACTAGTTGCTGAGACTGGATTTGAACTTGCAATCCTTCTGCCTCAGCCTCCCAAGCTGCTGGGATTATAGGCATGTGCCACCAAGCCTGGCTAGACACTTTTTCCCAAATGTTTTCAATCCACAATTGGTTGAATCCAAGATGTGGAACCCATAGTGCAAAGGACTGATGTTATGTGAAGGGTCTTCCAGGGAGAAAGCACAATGGAATGTAATCAAATGTTGGTGATTTATGTGGCAGCAGCTTCCCACTCAGTACAAAGGATAATTTTCTAACAATGGAATGGGCAACCCTTGGTGACCTGTCACTGAATAATGCCAGCACAGTGTGCATAGTAACTCATTGGTCATGTGGTAGAGGACATTTGGTAATCAAATCACAGAATCAAGACCCATGGACCGGGAGAGGCTGGCCCTGCTGGTCTGGGGAGAGCATCTCCTTTAAACCTCAGTGTTTCTGCCTGCCTCACCTGCAGCAGGGAGGAAGGAAAAATTAGCTGCTGCCTTCTCCTGTTGGTCTTGGCATTTCCAAGAAAGGGTTTTCCATCTTGCTTCACCCAAGTAGGGCAGGAGGGTGAAACAGGCAGGCTCCAGGAGCATCCTTCCAGCCCCTAACTGGGAGAGATGGAAGATAGGCCTCCATCCTGGCTTACATGCTATGCTTTGAATGTTTGTCCCCCAGAATTCGCATGTTGAAAACCTCATCCCCACTCATATGTTAATGGCATTTGGAAATGGAACCTGTGGGTGATTTGTTCATAGGGCCTCTGCCTTCATGAATGGATTAATCAATTCATGGATCAATAGATTATCAAGAGAGTAGGTTAATTATCCTGAGGGTAGGTCTGTTATAAAAGCCAGTTTGGGCTCTCAGCCTTAGCGCCATCTTCTTGGAAACCTCTGCGCCATGAGAGCCAAGTGGAGGAAGAAGCGAATGCGCAGGCTGAAGCACAAAAGAAGAAAGATGAGGCAGAGTTCCAAGTAAACTAGCTGGGCACTGTGGAAGCCAAAGGAGTAGAGATACGGAATGCCAGGGGCCAGGGACGTTGGTACAAGTTGGACTGCCTCCTACTGTCCACATTTTGTCTTGGTGGATTTAAAAACTTACATCGCCACTCTGTTGCCAAGACCACCACTGAGAGAAGACCCACCTTGCTCTTAACATTCCCTGTTGGTCCTTTGCCTGGGACCTTTGGCATTCTGGACTAATTCATTTTATCAGTTGTGGCCAGTGTAACGAGTGTACAATAAATCATCCCTTCTGTTTTAGCTGAAGAATTAAAAAAAAAAAAGCCAGTTTGGGGTTTGGGATATGGTTCAGTGTTACATACAGCATGTGATTAGTATGTGTGAGGCCCTGGGTTCAGTCCCCAGCATGCCTGTGTATGCACACACGTGTGTGCACACACACACACACACAAAACCAGTCTGACTCCTCTTGAGAACTCTCACCATGAGATGCTCTGTACTGCCTTTAGACTCTGCAGAGTCCCCACCAGACTGGGTGTGGTGGCACACACCTGTAATCCCAGTGATTTGGGAGGCTGAGGCAGGAGGATTGCAAATTCAAGCCAGTCTGGGCAATTTAGAAAGAACTTGTCAGGAAGTAACAAATAGAGTTCAGTGGTAGAGTATTTCTCAGTTCAGTCTCCAGTAACACATACACGGTCCCCACCAGCAAGAAAGCCCTCATCAGAGATGCAGCCCCTCAGCCTTGGTCTTCCCAGCATCTGAAACTGTAAGAAATATTTTTTTTCTTTATCAATGATCCAGTCTCAGATATTCTGTAATAGCAACAGACTAAGTCACCCCTTATAAACAACAATGTGGAGCTGCCTAGGGACAGCTTCACCTAGCCAGGGTGATCAACTTATCCTGGTTTATCCTGGACTTTCTCAGAGTTGCTTTTTGTTGTTGTCTGTACTGAGAATTGAACCCAGGGGCACTTTAACCACTGAGCTACATTCCCAGCTCTCTTTTATTTAGAGACAGGGATCTTGCTAAGTTGCTGAGGTTGGCTTTG